GTTAACTCACAAATAAAGGTCTGCAATACCTTTGCACTGGTGGAGCAGTAGAATGTGGTGCAGGTGCAACTTCTGGCACCTTGCAGTGTGTGAAGTAGAGTTTGGTTGTTCTCCCTTGCTTGTCTTCATAGCAAAACAGTAATTAGTGAGATTACTCTGGGCTCTCTCCTGGAAAATACCTTTATTTCCAGAGCACGTTGATCTAGGAAAAATTTACTGCTGATTTTCAAGTTGTCTGTTAGCCAATTATGCTTGCTCAAAATGTAGCTGAAATAAATTAGAAGAAACATAAGCCAAGGATTTTGTGGTTGTGTGAACTGAGAACAGGTCTGTGCATTTGATCACCTGTTCCTTTTGATTCTGTAATTGGTGTTTGGGAATTGAAGTACTGAAGGAATCTATCCTCCTATTTATGTCTGGGGGAGCAATGCAGGTTTTCCTATGGAAGGTGTAAGAAGAGTGTTTAGACTTGGTAGGAGCAATTTTACCTGCAGCCTATCCTTTTTGTAAGCCTCTCCCTGAAGCTTTTAGAAAGAAAGGTACTTGCAGGATGTTCTTGTCCAACTTGGTTTACCTGTTTTCTTTCCACCTTTGTGACATTTCCATCAACAACAACAAAAAAAAAAAAAACCCAAATCAAACCAAATCCAACAAAAGACACTCAAAAATTTCACCAAAAGCCCCACCAAAAAACCCAAAACAAAACAAAAAAAGAAGTCTTTTTGTCCAAAGCAAATTTACCTAAAAATACACATACTGGAAACCTTGGGAATTTGGAATATGGATCAGAAACTGTGGCAGGGAGATTTAATTCAAAATTAGTGTTACTCTGAGAAATTTGTATAGCCAGTCTACAGAGGAACTTAGAAATTAATATAGTAATGTTACTACTAATTAATCAAGATTCATTTTTGTTTGGCATTCTGACAATACTGGTTCAAACAAGCAAAAAAGTGGAGTTTCTGAGCTCAATACAAGCACAATGGTATTGTTGACCTGAGTTCCATTTCAACTGCAACTATGCCTCTTGTATAAGAGAGGAAAACAGAGAAGTATATTGATCTCATCTACATAAAGAGTTCAATTCCAGAAGTGTTACTCCACAATATTCAAATGTGTTTCCTGTGGTTTTGCATGCACAGGATAGATTACAAAGAGGGGGAAGAGAAATTATATGTAATTAAATAATTGCTCCTAATTGTTTACAATGTAATAGACAAATGAATAAGCAGCTTTGCTTCTTTCCTGCAGCCTCCTCCTCAGATATATGATAAACAGCTGGATGAAAGGGAACATACAATTGAGGAATGGAAAGGTAATTGCAGTTTGGAATGACATGGGAAGGGACAATTCAGTGGCAAAATGGCCAAGTGTGTCCAAACTCCTCTGACATGAAGAACTGATGCTAGACCTACAAACTGGTGCTTTGATAGCAAAAACAGGAGTGTCTGAGAACTATCATTACCTACTAATGCTAACACAGGAGGTATGGATTCCAGAGGCCCACTGAAATCTAAGGATATCATTTGGAGAAGAGAATACTGTT